TTTTTCTTGAAAAGGCTTGTGCATTTGGAAAACCTTTACATAGTTTCATAAGAGATGTTATACTGTACACACTTGAGTAGATTCTTCCCTCAGTTCCACGATCCGATGGTAAAGCAATCTAACATGACTTAAATTTAACAGAAGTTATGTAGACTTAGAAAGATTATATTCTCCAGCGCAAGGATAAAGTCTGCTCGTTTGATCCATATCTCACAAAAATACATTAAGTAAGTCAGTTAGCATACAATAAATTAAATATGGCCTGCCTCTACCCAACGACTGCTTCGTTGGCCGAACGTTCACTATGGCGACTCCGGGCAAGGGGACTCGAGTTCGATTCCCGGTAGGGCAAAGTATTTGTGGGTTTTTTAAAAAGTTCTCAGTTGTAGCACGGAGTCTGGAAATGTGTCCGGTATATGGGAATAGGCTCACTACCTATTACGTGGGACTCCTCATAACATAAATAGTAAAAAGTGGGTGTTACATTATACAGTGGCATTAATGTGCGCCTTTACCTACCCCTTCGGGGTTAAAAGACGTGATGTTATGTAAATTAAATTCCTGTCTTTTCGCAGCCGGACGACTTATCAGACGATGCGCTAATAGAATCTTTGGCGTTGACAATTGCGAAGGATCTTCAACGTCTGAATACTGACGACTTGGATAACCGAAATAATAACGAACACGTGTCCAGGAGGAAGACCATATTTAACTTGGAGAAAGGGAAGGAAAGCAAACCGGCTGTCATCAACCTCGATGCCAACTTTAAGAGGAGATTGACTATACTGCAGAATGGAGACTCAGGTAATGAATCTTTCTATAAGAACTATGTTGTACTGTCGATAAGATATAACTCTAAATAGATTTGAAACTTTCGTGTATAATATTTTTACCTCATACTATTTATATATGGCCACCGTTATATGTCTGATTCTTAGCTATAAATAACGAGACAAGTTAACCTCTCTGTCTCGTTGGCCGAGTGGTCGTAACTGCGACTGCCGGGCAAGAGGTCTCGGGTTCGATTGCCGGGTCGGGCAAAACTTACTGGGTTTTTAAATATTCTCAGTAGTAGCACGGAGTTTGGAATTGTGCCCGGTATATGGCAATAGGTTCACCCCCTATTACATGGGACTCATAACATAAAGAGTGAAAAGTGGGTGTTACATTGTACAGTGGTATAATGTGCACCACGGCCTACCCCTTGTGGGATAAAGGCGTGATGTTACGTTATGTTATGTTATAAGTGAACCTGTAAATAATATGATAGAGTTTTTCCGCATCGCTAACTTATACTCTTAAAAGTCTTATTCCCTTAGCATGGATTCTCTATAACAGTTCTGAGTTTAATAACAAAATATTACCTTGTTACCTAGAACTGATCTCCCGCCTGCCATCTCTGGGAGGTAACTGGGCAGCTCGTCGTGCTACGGTGCGTGCAATAAACACTCGACGTGAGTCTGTCATGGCGGAGCGACGCAAGTCTCAGATGCAAACACGGCCTTCTGGCGGGACATACATGTATAACCCTCCCGGCACGGTAAGATTATTAATACTTTACAGGGTTGGTATACACGGCTTATTCATGTAACTATTCGAGGTTACTCGTCTAGTTTCGAACTAAGACCGGGACTCATGATTAGTACGGTACTATGCGCAGTGACTCAAATATGATGTCGCTCAGCCAAGTCATCGGATAGAAGTGAATTTTTATTATCAACTAGCTTCTGCCCGCGACTTTGTACGCGCAATCCCGTTCCGATTTCTATCGTAAGAACCTTCTAGCAATAACAAACACCACAAAAAAAATCTGCCAAATCGGTCCAGCCATTCTCAAGTTATGGCGTGACAACGGGAAACGGGTTTAATTTGTATATATATAGATTTATTCTAAATAAATATAGGGCGACAAGCTGATGTAATACAGGCGTTGCACTTAACATTTTTACTAACTAAATTACACACGTTTATAACAGTTTACCCATTAACACACAATGCACAAATCCGACATGAACACTAGTTGCTATCGAATAAAGTCCATTTTAGCTTGAATCAAATGTTTTTAATTAAATAAAATAAAGCGATTTCATTGTCGACTTAATATTTTCTTTGCAGGGAGATGTATTGAAACCACAAAGACCAACTAAACGACTCAGTACATATCACTTTGACGGCCTCGTGGGTGCTTCCACACATTATCCTAATACTCAATCTTACGCGTGAAATGTGAATCTCGAATGTTTATCCTACGCATAAGGTTCGACAGATGAAATCACTTTATTATGAAACATTTTCGCTATACTTAATACATTTTTCATTGCTTTAGACGCTTTCTCTGTGCAAATACACTCTCAATTTTATCACCACACTTCAAAATTACATCCAATCGGCCACACAGCACATCGAATTAATTCTAAACGTGTTTTTTTCTATAATTTAGGAAATATGCTTGAAGAAGGCCTAAACGCGCACTATGCTTATTATCCTGCTATAAAATTATCGCAAAGGTGTAACGCACAGGTTTATACACTGCGCGCACACTCGACATAAAATTCATAGATATAAAAGCAGTTTTTTTTATAGCGCGATAATTAATTGTAGTACGCGTTTGGGCCGAATTTTAAAAGAAAATCGTATTTATTTTCATTTTAATTTTGCCAATTATGCCAACCAAATTTTACCTTTATGATCAGCATGTTTTAAAGAAGAAAATAATGTTTTTCAATAGATTCAACTCGACGATATGGACGGTCGTCCGTCGACGGCGGGAGTCTACGTGAACCGAGGCTACGAGCCCGCTCTGGACAGTGACGTGGAGGAAACGCCCGTGCCAACGCGACGATCCATACGCTTCTCGGACCATTTCGCGTGACAACCACAAAAATCTAACTAAAATCTCTTTAATACATTCTAGACTCGTATTAAGAAACGATAAGGTTGAAAATGTATTGAAGAAATTGAACAGATTTGAGTAGGTTCAGCGTTTGTGTTTAAATAATTTATGAAAATTTAATATTGCTTTATGACCGCTTTAATAATAAAAGAAACTCATTATATGCATGAAAAAATTTATCTGTTTCTTTATTTTGGTATAACCCAATTGCGACTGTAAGATTGCACGAAAATAGATTTTTGGTATTCATCTATTCATTATTTTCCTGCCACAGTTTTTAATCAGAGATTGATAATCACATTAATACATTTTTAACTGACTACAAAAAGAAGGAGGTTTTCAATTGGGGAGGTATGTTTTTCCAATTAACTCTCAGCAGCCACGAAAATCGTCCTTATTGTCATGGACATAAAACACATCAACGATGATTGTCATGTTCTTACTAAAAAAATGGTATCAATTGCATGATATGAGGTAATAATATCTACGAGTAATTGGAAAATATACTAAACTTTTTAAATTATTTTCTGTGGCGTGACTTTGTATTGTAACCGATTGCTGTCGGTTTGGTAGTGAAACAAAAACACGCAAACTGTGGCGCCTTGAACACTTACAAACGTTATTTCAAATTACATGAATTATAGCGATAAGTTTTTGAAAGCAAAATAAGTTAACAATGAAGATAAAAGGACCTCTAATGAAAGAGTTCCTCTTTAAGTGTGGGAGAGCCATGCTTCGGCCGTCTCGACCGGAGTGATACCACGGCCTCACCTAACGCTTGGGTGTCTTCAAGTCCCGAGTGAACAGGTTGCTCATAGGTAGGCGTGCTCCATCGTCGGCCACATCATTGCTTACCATCAGGCATCACCAAAAAACCTAACGCACTTGTAACGCCTCTAGTGATCCAGGTTTCCATGGGCGACGCCGATTGCTTACCATCAGGTGATCCGTCTGCTCGATTACAAGCTTAAACCATAAAAAGAGATGACTAAATATTAATAAACATTTTCGAAAACTCCCGACCCGGGAATCGAACCAAAACAGAGCTCTTACTCGGCACTTGCGCCTGCGACTACTCGATCAATGATGCAATCGTTTTTTATTTATTTGTTACATTTTTTATCATCGGTTTTGCATCTAGGTGAAGGACAAAAACAAGAAGTATTACTATCAATGGAAACTCGCGTTTTGCAACATCAGCATCATTATAGTGCAAAGCTAATGAGTTGGAAAAAAAACATTAAAGTATTAAACGCTATTCTAAAGTTTATACTCACGTAATAAAGTATTAAAGTGTCAAACATCAAGCGGTCACCGGTGACCGCAACCAATTGTTCTATAATTGTGTCTACAAAACCGGTACTCGAAGAGTTAAGTAAATGATATCATTTTATTATTTTATTTTCATAAATTACTAAATTAGTTATTTATTAATTAGGTATCGTACGCAACTTGTATGCGGCATCATCTACTTAGAATCTTAGATAAGAAAGGTACTCTACTAGGTACTGGGATCATAATTAATTTAGTAGGTATCGTAACACATAACATAACATCACGCCTTTTATCCCCGAGGTGGTAGGCAGAGGTGCACATGACGACACTTAATGCCGCTGTGCAATGTAACACCCACTTTTCATTATTTATGTTATGAGTCCCATGTAATAGGGGGTGAGCCTATTGCCATATACCGGGAACATTTCCAGACCCCGTGCTACTACTGACATTTTTTTTAAAACCCGGTTTAATATCCTAACCAAATATCATAATTTTTAAACATACTGATGGAATTTAATTCATTCATATGTTGGTAAAATGAAATGAATACTGATATCAATAGTTTTTAAAACTAAAGAGTTTCTTTGTACACTGCAACACTCCCAATACTTTCAAACCTAACATTGTACATATTATGTAGGTTCATTATACTCAATCTCTTATTTAAAGATATGTCATTCATCTATGTAAATTAGGTCTATGTCATAAAAAGTAATCATTTCCCATTCAAAATTGGGAAATCCGTCCAAAATAGCTGTTGTACCAGTGAGTCAGTTGAAGTTCAGCCTTTCGATTGTCAAAGTAAGGGGTCGTTAACAGCGGCAGTGAGCGCGCGGCCTACCGACCGAACGCACGCGCAAACCATGCGCAGCGACGCTGTCCCGCGAGTGCACTCCTCGTTACATTGTGAAGTGATATACAGTATAAACACGGATTACAACAACGATAATCTCCACAACATATACTGAACAGTAAGTCCACATCTTAATTATATACATTTAAGGCTTTGGAAGTGATCTCTCAACTCTCGAGGCTGCTGTGCGCGATCAGCTGCGAATGTATGCGAGGGTGTCAATAAGGTTCCCTGCATATAAATTGATAGGACCTCACAAAGTACTCAAATACAAACGTCAAAAATATCTCAGTTATAAAGTTTGAAAAGCCACGAGAGTCTGCATTGGTTTCTCTTTCGAAAGTTTCGTAACAACATTTATGTAAAGTGAGACTGACCGCTCAAAGAACGTGTCTAATATGAGGCATAATGTGTTATTTATTCAAAATTTTGGCGAAGCTGTGAACCGTATGGTACCCGTAACTAAGTTGTATCTCGTAAACAAAAGTGAATGTAGGCGGCATGGGAGAGAATGGGAAACAAAGACCGCGGTATTTCCTTAGCTGGTCGCTAAACGACCTCTAAATGCCAACTGTAATAGATATGCTGAAGTGATACATAATTAAATTGCATAAAAAGGTTTAATACATTGAGTAAGGAATTTATTAATACGTGGATTACATAAGGCTACAGTATCGTATCTGCAGATCTTCACGTAACATTGCTCGGCAAAATTATATAAAAGTATGTCATATTGCAGTTTGGTAAGTGTTGTTGGTGATCCACATCATCAGTATTACATTAATTTCCAATAAACGAATAGTAATTATCTACAATTACAACTTAATATGTGGTCCGTTATGTCATTTAGATATGTATCATTCCAGAACATCTATTCCAATATAGTTTTGTTATAAAACGTTTCATTTAATCTATCAATGTATTTCCAAAATCATGACGGCATCATGAGAGTATCAGTAGGCAACGAGTTCGTGCGGAGCTGCAGGCCTCGCTCACATCCGCAGCTAGAGGGTCGTTCTCACTGGAACAAGAACAATTTGGTTTCCGCAATAGTGGCCACTATTACGCTAGACAAGTGCAATTAACTAATTAATAATAATCTTCGTTGCGCAGGCGCTTGCAATACAAAGCGTAATTGAAATTGTATTCAAGGAATTTTCGTGTTTTGCTCCTACTAATTTGCGTGGAGTTTTGCGGTGAAGATTTTGCAAACGTTTAGTTATGTACATACTGTTGGAATTTAGTTAGAGATGCATGTGAAAGTAGAAAGAGCGTAATGCACTTGAGTGCTTCCTGATTTGACTTATAAATGAGGATTTAAGGACAATAGGATGTGCAGAGAACCCAAGAGAAGAGTAAGCAATACAAGTTAAAAACAATGTGTTTTATCTAACGCTTAATAATGATATTACACTCAAATTTTACTACTTTGATAATACAGAGAGCAGGTATAACCGTTAATCGGGCCGAACAAAAAAAAATTTCATGGTTTAAGTGCAAGTTCTTGTATTATGTTAGATAGCAGTGTACATAAAAACAATACAAATTACTGAAACTGAAAAGAAAAGGATTTTTCGTGTGGGAAATTATTTCCCTTTGCCCGATTACGTCAATACATTTTAATAGACTAGAACATGGTGGGAAAATAATTCCCTGTGCCCGATCGCGGTAAATACCTTGCATATAATAATCTAGCATGTATTATGCCCAAAGATAAAGAGTCATTTGTGATCTACCTATCATTTGTCCACATCTATCAAAACGATTACTTCAGTTACCTACAACTCAGACTGCACTTTCAAATTCCTCACAGACCTTTATTTAGCTCGCAATAAAAACTCGTGCGTGACGCAAGACACGAGTCACGACTGTTTATATCCATTGCGCATTTGACACTAGAAATGTTAGTACATAACCATAGTGGAACTTCAATGTATGTGAACGGAACTTAGCAACTTTCATGAACGATCCTTGAACTGGTTTCCGTGTTTACAATTTCGTTTTATACTTATATCCGATGTACGTATGTACGTACTTCCTGGGAGCTTAACACTACACACTAATACATTATTTATAATGCCACGCCTTTTCTCCTCTGTATTGAAACCTTACAGAGAATAGATAGCGTGCAATGAGTATGTATGTATACTTGTAGTAGGTAGATATATTTACTTGCCCTTTAGATATTTATATAAACCGTGTTCTATTTATGATCTTACATTTATCAAGGAGATTGCTGCACTGAATGCAATTTCACTATAAACTTTGCTTAATATTTAAGATCAAATACAAACAATGAAACATCATCACATCCATCGTACAGCCTGATACAGAAGGCAGTTCTCCTAGAAACGACATGTATCGTGAGTAGGTTTCTGTCTCTGTAGCCCTAACCATCGGTTGTTTGGACCATGTTCCCACTACTGGTCTGCTCCCATTTTTAAATATTATTTTAAGTAGTATTTAAGAATGAAATTTTAGAGAATCTTAAATAAATATATATGATGTTTCCAACATCATTAAATCGGCCAACACCACCTGTAAAAGATTTAAACCGCTATAAACTATAGCTACCATATAATCAATTAATAATTAAACTTAAGCCCAGCTATCATTTACTCACATTCCAAATTTATTTTACGGCCATTATCCATGCTTACTTTCATTGTTCATTAGTAACTATTAAATAGTCAGTCAAGTAGTCAGACCTTGACTGCGCCTCGACCGGAAGAAAGTGGGGTGTGATTAGCATGGCGCTGACGTAGCTGGGCGGTTTATTTATACCTATGTATGTACGTATGTATGTAACTGTTTTTTGATACGTGAGCCTGTTGTTGATACTTATTGTTCTTGTGGTATAAAGAGATATACTGCAATTTACAATGGGTTTTATTTATAGCAATGAGGTCCTATCTTATTTAAAATGATTTTTTTAATGTAAAATATTACAACCAAGCACTGAGTGTATGCAACTACGTGTATACACACAATCATGTCAAAATAAGTAATAGTTTACTTTTGAAACCTGTATCCTAAAAACACTTTGCCAAAGCCAATGTGATCTTAATCGATTGAGAATTGACAAGTGTGTCGTTTTTCCCACTTCATAATGTCAAATGTAACCTTTATGCCAATTAAGACACCATATACAGTCATCTGATAAGTATTCATTACAGTAATCATACAAGTATTTTGCAGAAGCATGCAATAATTGCGAAGTATAAAGTTGCTCTACAAAAGACATCAACGCACGCCCACTGTTATAAGTGGAAAATGTCAACATCACAGCGCAGCGTAGGTACGGCGTGAACCTTCACATGTAGTTTAGTTGTTTACTTATGTGAACATAATTATGTATATGAAGTATATAACATCGATATTGTATGGAAATATAAAATGGATGAATAATTAAATTGGAACGTAGGTATGTTAAATTGGGAACCTTTTGCTTCTCTCCATGATAAGAGTTTGTACGAGTAGTTACACCAACTTTTTGTTTCGTATTTTATTTCTTATACTTATTTATACTGCATTGATTTATAATTTGACTAACAAATTGCTAAAGGCTTTTGAGGACTAATTAAAAAATAAGTTTAAATCTATGAATAAAAAAAGACCAAATATATATAATATTTAACACGTGCTTTGAATGCGTCGTCACTCAAACATTTGTAGATGAATCGTATTACTAAATAGATAATGACGTCACGCATACACATACATACATAATAATGTTGTATATAGTGGGATTGTGCGTACAATACTGCTTTATGGAATGTAGCGGCAAAGTTAGTAAATACTATTAAAAACCACGTTATTATAATGAGAACTTAATAAGTATATGTACTTATGTGTTCTTTTTTCCAACTTTGGAGGCAATTAATAAGGTTAATTTGCATATAATTATAGATTAAAATTCTTAAACTGATTCAAATGCGTTATTAAAGTTAGCTTTAGTTCGTTGCGATTGTAAAGCCAATTTCATGAGACCGTTCACGAATACAAAAGTAAAAGAATTACTCTCCTCTATTCTTTAATTAGCATAAATCTCACATAACACACAAAAAAGTAAAGAAATCTCACTAATATTTACATTAGCTTAACCTCCATTTTGAGTAAGCAGCCGTCGTCTAAAACCTCGTATCCACTAGACAACATGCTGCACAAAATGTTGCTTAATATGTTAAGAGTCAGCGCACAGTTGTTTATAACACATGATTTCAGTCGCAAGATCTATCAGCAATATTTTGTCTGCGGAACTAGTGTTGGGCATAACGTCTCCACTCGAAAATTTGATGCTCAACAGCTTGTTACACTGAAACAAACTGTAAAAAGAAAGAACAGAAGTTGTGCAACATTACTGACCATGTTGAGCGTCACGTGTTGCGCGTCAAATGTTGCCTAGTACTGCCTAGTAGATACGAGACTAAAGACAAAAAGACAACTTGTTCAGCTTAGCAATGTTCACTACATAATAACAATTGCGCTAATAAACCCAACTTTCTCTTTTTTTGTGGAGAATTTCTCGCGTTTTCATCGTTTATTGATACTTTAGTACGTAACTAGCGTTTTTGTGCAGAGCTCATGTGATTCAATAATGTTATGTGGTGTTACCTTCAGCCTCGGGTAACCTCTTTTTGTATTTACAGAGAAAGTTTCTAAGTACGTTTAAACATTGAGGATATTTCGGATTGTATCTTAATTTTAACTAACTACACTATTTTCGTGAGCACTAGTGTTTCGTCGTTTCAAGTTCTGATGGCTTCTGATGCTAGGAAAGTTTAATTTCGGTGCTCAAAGCCGTCTTCTTTATCTCTTTAATCTGTTCGGATATTTTAGTACCTAGTTCATGGCATATAGCATATTCTAAAGGTTATACAATATTCTATAGGTAACTAGAAGATAATATCTGCGAAAAACGGGTTGGGCGAAGAAGCAATTTTTCAATGTTAGTAAATACACATACACGCGGTACGAAGGCAACCTAATACTAAATGTAACATACATAATATAATTGTAGTGTAATTAAATTCATGCTATAATTGACAAAACCTGCACGCCTTATATACTACTCTATAATCATTCGATTTTGACCAGTAATTGCTTCATTGATCATTGAGTAATATCCGAATAAACTAAATACAGATCAGTATCCGCTGTAATGTATTCTAGTCGAGACTGGCCGCGCGATACTTAACTAGGACAAATATAAGCTTCGTAGATGCAAACTGCAGCGATCGAGCTAGTCAGTCGATGTTGTAACATTTCTGATACTATTTTTGTTTATTAAACTTAGTCGTAACAAAGTAAATGGTAATATAAACAATCTAACACGAACTACTTACATACTGACAAGAATATAAAAGAGATATACATACGGGAAGTAAATTTGAAACTTATTTACATTGGTATAAAGTTGAATTTGATTAACTCTTATTTTCGTGTATTAGATTTATACTAAAGGTTAAAGATTAATTAAACGTCATTTTAAAACTACACCGAATGAGAGAGATACTCTGAGAGTGTGTGTTTGTATAAATTTGGAGATGCTTGGACTCGAATCTTACGAGCTCCACTCAAGCAACAGTACCTAGACTACATATTATGTACTTATTTGGACAAGACATGTATCTAGAATTAGAATGACTAAAGTAAATCACGTATATGACTAGACTAGCAAGGTCCTAACTGTGCGATACATATACAAAGATACGAAATATAAATTATACCGATAAGTAAATCGTCGATTAAAATGGAATGAAAAAATAACTGAAATTCCAACATTACATAAAGAAAAAAAAATGACGTATCTATACATAGCAGCTCAATACACAATCTGAGTCAGTATCTACCATATAACCACATCCGGGTAACTTCGATTGCTTAAAGTATTTCTAAGAACATGAGCTCCTTGTCTCAGTAGATGACAAGTCTCTGGGTGTAGACTGGCTGCGCCTGCGCCGCTCGAGGTCACGCTGCCCCACTCCTCCACGCTCCGGTGATCCAGCGTGATACTTACTTACATTAAGATCGCTACGACTTGTTTATAGACTCTGTATAAGAACGATTAAATGCTAATTTTATGTGTTTAAGCATATTTGGATCGTAAAGCTTTTCCGCTGGTTAAATTAGGTTGAGGTTCCTGTTGATTTCGGTTGTTGATTAAATATTAGAAAAAAAACATAGATAATTCTCTTTAGAGGCCAGTACCTATTAGTACAATAACTATATTTAACTGCATAGCTACTACTGTGTACTATTTTTCTTTAAATTACGATTACACCTTAATATGGCGCATTAGCAACAGACATCGGACCATATCATCATTATTTGAAAAAATGCGATTATAAATTAGATTCTTAGAAAAATAATAAAATCTTGGATTTCATAGCTCATTCGAATTTACAACGAAACATCTAAAAAACTGGTTTCATCAACTCGTGTAATTAACATGAGACGGCACTCCTTGGAAGTTGCAGATTACTAAGTATCCCATTGGGCTTGTGAATTAGGCTTTAGGTTAGGCAAAGCATTCCTGATCGTTAACTCATCATCTTGTGCAAGGCACTTGATAGCGACACTATGTAAAACTACGAAAGTACGAATATAAGGCAGTGTTGCGCAGTGCCTAGGAGCACAGAGGGGCGGGGTGGTGCGGTGCGGGAGGGGGAGGGCTGCCAGCTGACGGCCTCTAACAGTGAAAGTAAACCTGCGGCCCTCGCCACCAGTCCGACCACATTGGTGCTTGTAATACGATTTAAATTATGATTTACTATTGCATTGCTGGTGCGTTGATGTCATTTACAATGTATGAATGTCCATTGTATTGTGTCACGACAATCAATCGATTGATCGTTTTTCTCATTAGGGAGATAATCGAGATCTTTTTTGGTTTGGCTAGTATTCCCAGCCAACTAACAACTCTGTCATGCATTTTCGAAAGTTTATGCTGTGTATAAAATCGCCTGATTATAAACTAACTCAAAAATATAAACATCGAATAATATAATTTATTACCTTTTGTGTACGGCGTCTGGTTGTTAACCTTATTCCAACAGGTAGAATTAATATTACCTACCTACATTAGACTGAACATAATTTTTGATCATTTCCGCTAAAACGAATTACGTCAGAGCTATTAAAAATTAAATTAATTAAAGCGTGTTTAATGTTAAAACATTTAAATGCATTGTAACATTATGTTAAATACCTGGCAACCATCGTGTTGTATTGTAAACATGTTACAGTAATTTCAAGTGGCGTAATAATCAGTTACATAGTTACTTAACCGTCGAGCAAATTACTTTCTTCTTGTAAGTAGTACTAACATTATATTATTTTATATTTCCACTGAAGGAAGAAGAGGTCCTTTTCCAGTCGATCCAGTTCTATTGTACATAAAATAAACCACAACGATATGGAGGCAGGCACTCAGTACGGATCGTGTTCCCTTCGCACACTATCTATCGTCTTGCACTACATAGGATTGCTATTTGCTCCGAGGTACTAGTGAGGGTTAGGTCCATTGTCCAGCTGAGGCAAAGTCGCTGACCTTGCGTTAGCGCGGGCGCAGTCTGGCGCCCACAAACGTCGTGATCTGATACGATGGACATCGCCTGTTCAATGCAATAAGCCCAGCAACATTTATGACTTCTTTGTGTTGGTACCTTGAAAATGTTACATACACTATGTGTGCCAGGCTCCGCTTATTGTTATGTTATATAATCAAATATTTCAGTGTTGCGATAATAAACGAAACATGTTACTAAAGACAATATAAAAAGCTTGCAGAATTATATTTTCGCGTAACGCTACTGCACAACAACGCATGTTGTTTCCTTGAGAAAAAGATGTGTTTAATCTTCGTTATGGCAACACGAACGGTTCGCATGATGTAACAGGAAAATTATACCACAATAATATTGGTGAAAGATACATTCTTGATCGATACACGAAATCGAATAAAAAATCTTTCTTTAGAAATGTGCTGAGTGAATATATGTTTCGTGTGGTTAGGTGCATATGAATGAGCAATAAATCACTGGCGAAGGTCCATAACTCTGCGAGGGATGAATGACCGGCAAGGTCGAGGGCTCTCGCTGGAATGCGCGGTTCTGCTGGACATACAGTGACTCAGTGGAGACGGGCTTATTCTTCGAACAGGCGAAGTGTTTACCTTCAGAGAACATTGGAATAACACTAATTTCAAACGGTCTTCGCCACAAGCGTATATAAGTATATAGGTATTTTGATGCCCAAATGTTTCCAACAAACACGAAACCTTGACCGCTAACTAGCTAATTTACTACAACTGAGAAGGTGAAAAGCTACAGCCTCGATAGTTATCAGCGTGCAATGTTTATTGTTTTACAAGGACTTCCTACAATTTTACGAAGTATTCAAATAAATACATTGTAAGTTATATCAGGTGTATTAGCATACGAATCATACGTTATGAAATACTTGACTAGGACTTGCGGTTAAATAGCTAACCTTTAACTGAAAAGGTCAGCCGTGCGCTCACTTGTAGGGGCACCATAAATTAGGACCATATTATTCGATCGTTTATAAGGTTGGGCATCAAAGTCTCGAGCCTTTGCCTTTGAAGCAGGTAAACTGGCTCTATCTGCATTAGTTAGGAATGTTCTAGGGCTAGGCAATTCAGGTATTTAGTACTTAGAAACGATTGCTAATAGTTTAGTGTTAGCATGGTAACAGTAAATGCTAAAGCATAAGTGGATGAATTCAAACAGACTGTATATAACGGACGACGTAATGTAGACAGTGAAAATTATTATAGCTTACACAACTGTATGATTGAACATAACATTCCCTGTATTGGATAAAGATCTATACAAATAATTCAAACAAATTTTCAGTTCAAAATTTGTCAATTACCAATTAGATTCATGATCTCGAGTTTGTTGACATTTACAGTATGGCACAGTCAAATCACGAGTTATAGCCACGAGTCCGTAAAAGCGTGACAGTGGACACAGTTGGAGCCATCCAAAATGGAAAGTCGTGATGTCGACAATTTCTCCGTTAACTGTTCTAATAAGTCAGTACGAAGACTTCATATCAAGTAATTACGTTTTTCTTCATTTATGAAAGTCATGTATTAAAATTACCTTAAGAAACTTTGAAATTGCTTGTGCTGATACTTAATCTTCTGTAAGCTAAATAATGTAGTGATCTCTCTACATTTTCCAATTATTCGATTTGATTTCAATTACTTACTATGCAAGAAAATGTTTTCTCTATGGAGCTTAATAGATTTTAAATATCTTGTCACAAAACTCATATCTATGCATAAAAAAGTAAATAAAATTTAATTTTTAGGTTAAATTTTTAAAACGTATAAATAAATACGTATTATGTATAAGATAACACAGAAAATAAAAATAAAAGGAAACAAAACAAAATTATTCGTGAGGAAGGGTGCCCAAAACACTGGCCACGTTGCCATGTAGTTGCCATCCAGGCAATGCTTAACCTTGACCAAGATATTTAAAATGTCATATTAATTGTTAATTTTTATTTATTTCAGAATATTAATTAAAAATGGCGACGTCAGGAGGGAAACGGCGGGAAGAGGGCAGCGATAATTCCGATGATGAGCTTACACCGCTCGCTAACGAAATCTATGGTGGAAGGTGTGTACCACAATATTATTTTTTTATTCTTACTAGCTGTTTTGCCCGCGATCTTGTCCGTGTAGAATATGAATTTTAGAATATTACATTTTTTGTTTCTAAGTTACAAAATAAAAGTATAGCCTATAGATGTTTCGCGTTAATTAACATCAGCTTATAAAAGTTTTGCAAAATCGGTCCAGCCATTCCAGACATTAGCCATTAAAAACAAACAGATAGACAGACAAAAGTTGTAAAAAATATTACTTTAGTATGTGTATCGTATGTATATTTATATGCATGCAGTATGAAGCGGTTATTTTAATATTACAAACAGACACTTCAATTTTATTTATCTGTATAGATTATAAGCAAAGGAATTAGTACAATTGTTTCTTTCTATAAGAGATGTTGATTGCGATTAGTGCAACTCTTTTTGCTTTTTGAGCAAATTGTAGCATTAAAATTATAATACTACCATAACTAAAAAATAACACAATAAACGCCAAAAGCTACATATTTTACAGTTCCTTAAACACAATATAATTACGATCCTTTAACATCTCAAACACAAAAGTTCACTTGTACTTGTAAGGTTATAAGTGGTGTTTCGAGACGGAACAAGCCAAGTTCCTGCGCTCCGTACCGAATGATATCACTCATCTGAATCGCAACTATACATACGTCATCGTCGAGCCATCATTCGGCATTAATTCTCATACAGATGTGAAGTACACGAAGTACGCCTTCCACTTTCACCTACGCTGACTTGAAGTATGTAATAATAAGAATAATAGCAGTCTTTATTTACTTTTACATTATATAATAGTAAGTTTATTCCTTGAATATGTAGGTAGAGGTGTCCCTTTGTATAGCACTCCCACTATTTACAAATGTGTACAAGTGTAATGAGTAAGGAGCCTATTTACTGGCAAGCATCGTGCATATTGTGGGAATTTGGAAATTGGTTAAAAATTTAGTAACAATATTTGTTTGCGCATGCCAATGATCATAGTCAAAGGTAGCGGTTGTAACCACAAGATTGGTTGGGTTTTCATTGAACTGACGATAAAACTTACTCTCTATCTATAGACTACTTAAAGATTTTTTTGACGTAACATAACGTCACGCCTTTTTATCCCCCAAGGGGTAGGCAGAGGTGCACATTACGGCGCTTAATGCCACTGCACAATGTAATACCCACTTTTCAGTAATTATGTTATGACTCCCATGTAATAGGGGGTGAACCGGGCACCTTTCCAGACTCCGTGCTACTACTGAGATTTTTTAAAAACCCAGTAATACATTGCCCGACCCGGGAATCGAACTAGAGACCCCTTGCCCGGCAGTCACACTTGCGACCACTAGGCCAATGAGGCAATGATTATTTTTGACTATTGAAGAAAACTGTTAAAATCCAAACCTCTACTAACATAGGTCTCCAGTGGCGTAGCGGTTAACCAGTGGTTAAAGCGGTTAACGTGTAGGTACTCGTTACTTTTAATTGATAGGCAGCTTAACCACTTGAAGTTTTACTTTGGAGAGAATAAGTCATTTCAGGGAATTTGCAAGCCAAGATATCTTTAATCTTATACTTTACATCGTTAGCATTTTCATCACAAAATTCATCAACCTGTTCTCAGACATAAGAAGATATTCAAAATAGTTTCCATATACATAGGTGTAACTGTGTTAAATAATTACTATTATCTATCACGTGTCGAATGTCGAGGTTATTTTATGAAGTGACATCTAACATTAAACTTATGTATAAGGTCAAATGTGATGATAAACTTAATAATTTTAGACAATATTTTCATGATATTCAAGTTACTTTAAAATTATATATTACATTGTATGCATGTTACGATGTATCAGTGTACATAATATTTATGAGTAATTGAGTATCTACTGGGTAATAGGCAATGTTGACATTGTGATCTCAAATTCAAAGATGTCAAATTACGATTAGATCATTACGGATTTCAAAATATTAAAGATGTTTTACAAAAATGTCATACATTAGTTCGTTATGAAAGTGCAACTAGTTCTTTATACATAAAAAGTTGTTATAAGTGGGTCTTGTAACGTCTATATGCATACGATTTTTTTTAATATCGTTACAATGTAATAAAAAGAAACACACAAACCAATCAATTGGAGAAGAATGTCGTTAAAGGTCTCATTAATGACAAATGGTATTAAATAAATATCAATATGAAGTTCACTACATAATAATGCGGTTAGATACAAGGTAGATACAGGTATACAAGAAGGTCTAATATTATATTCCCATCATAACTATGTTGAGTAACACAAAAGCAAATCTGATGAGTCAGATTAACCTGATAATTTTATTTTTACATTCAACTTTTCTCACAAAATATTGCAATTTTAATTTCTCAATTCAGATAATATTTTCGCAAGTGAAGTCTGACTGGTTCCAGCAGTACCTAGTTATTGAAGCAGCGTATATGAATAAAAATTGGAATTTATAATCCAAGTCTTGGGACTGCGCAGTCACTCGTTCGTTGAATGATATAAATGGCACTATTATTAACTAAAGAAATAGTTGATTTCTCAATCGTTGCATTCTTTACACATTACCACTGCAAATATGATACTCACCTATGAACTTTACGTAAGTACATGTGAAAAATACCTGCAGCATAGTCTAGGATAAACAGAAGCAATATAATGTAAAAGATCATTGTTTAGTATAAAGCTTTATTTAGCCAGAGGTCGAGTTGTTCGCCGATCGGTCACCGCGGCCCGGAACCCGTTCAAATGCCAAGGTTGACAACTCTGACGACATAACTTTCGATCGATCGACTGCGCCACATTTTTGCGCCCCACTTCGCTCTTAGAGGCCTTTACGCGCCATAACATAGGGACTATTATAGCTGTATGTGATGGTTTACTTATACCTTTTCAGCTCAAGTCTAGATTAAAAAAGAAAGGTCTAACCTTGAGCAGGTGATGTATCTCCTTTTAACATCCTGTATAAGCTTCAAAAGAGTCAATGTCAAAGCTTAAGTTTCTCTGTGGCGAGTATCGGAACCAGAATGTAACAAATCAGTCAGATTTTTATGTTTTTTTTGTCTGTCATAGATTGTTTGATGTTTCGTTACGTTAGATCACGTTTATAAATAGTTTATCGACATTTCAATTGTTAACTTGAACCCAATTTTAAGTAACAACTTTCGGAGCACGGAAACAACAAAAAATGATGTTTATTCGGTTTAGATAAGTAAATATACATGTTTAGAACGGTGTCTAGCAGTCAGCGCTTTCGTAGGAGGCAGCTGAGACGAGCGGGGCCGGGCGTGATCCGCATACTAGATGGTACCTTACCTACTAACTGGACTGACCAATGTCATATTGACTGATATCTTTCAATTATCCTAAAACTGCTTTACAAATCGTATACCTAGCACCCGTATAAAATTCAAAATTAATATTTTAAATCTTATGCTATTGTGTAAGTTTAGTGTGATGATGCAAAACGAAGCCATTAGATATTTTAAGGACATATATTGTTGAATAACTGAATTATTAATAAATTTTGTTGATCCTCGCTGATTTCCATTCCCGTCTAAGCAACGTTTTGCTCATTAATTTTATATAACTTTTAATAGCAGACCAAAATAATATTAGTCTTTGTTTGTAGGATCAATGTTTCCATTCAAAGATGGACAGTTATGATGGACAATTTAGCTTGTCTAGTTATTAACACCATAAAGTTGTAGTGACGTAAGTGACGCGACGAAACTGAGGTTTATGACAAATATGGAAGTTAGCATATATGCACAACATAATGCTCCCGTCCACACCATGGTCGATGACCTCTAGCGCTGGACATTGGGCATGGGAGTAGCGGCGCGCATATAAAACAAAACTTTAGGTACCTCATGACGGCCATGTGAATTGGAAAGTGTGACGTATTTCTATACTTAAAGAAACAAAAGGTTTATTTGAACTTGGTACTCAAGTACAAGTTAGTATCTTGATTCTAAGCATATTGTAATTTTCGAGATTTATCATTAGGTATCTTACAGCTTCATACAATTGAAAACAATTTTCCATGTCTATTAAACAATTTCTTAACGGATTATAACAATCCACTTTATCTAACAACTTGGAACTTGCAGCTATTACTTTGTGAAATATAATAATCGCGGCCAAAGAAATAGTTGTTTTATTGTTATGGTATTACGGGTTACTGTTATGTTACAACACCGCGGCCAGTGCACGTGCACGCGAGCGGGCGAAGGCTTTCGTAAGTTTTCGTGAGGTAGAGCGACATTGAGCGATCTATTGTTCTGAGTATGAAGCTTCGTAGGCAGCACGGGCGCAGTCGCGCGGACATATGCCTAATCCATCTAGACGCGGCCGATATTAAAATCGCGTCGATAGTCTGGATCGTGTGTAGTGGAAGGTCACTATATGAACATTTGATTTGAATTCCGACCTCGCGTACAAATGTTAGAGACTGTGGCTGCCAGCTCAGGGTGAAGATACATAATATTTTGCATGTTGCAATTTACGACAAAGGTCTTTAAAATATAAATTAATATTCAAATAAATAGCGATTTATCGTGTATTTTTTGATTACAATTTAATAGACATCTGTGGATTTCTAGACATGTAGAAATATATTTATCTATCGATTGCTATTTTCTGGTGATTCATGTTAATCAAGTATGCCAAAAGGATGATCGTCTTGTGCGTAACTTACTGACTTGTTTTAGCTCTGAATGCGCAGTTTTGTATTTATATCAAAACTAAGGAACTGGTTTTATAGAGCGAAGCCTTGTGTATATTATTTCTGTATTGTTATTTGGATATGTATATGGAAATGTTTCTACTTCCTCGTGTAGGTATAACAAAAAATAATGCATTCGAGGACTTATTATTTATCTATTAACATCGGACAGGTATTAAATGGCAAGGAGCATGTTATGTAATTTGAAAAAAAAATAGTGATAATGAATTTATAATAGGTGTCTAACCTAGCTTGTTTATTTGGTTGAACGCATGAGTAGGTCCTAATTGTATTTCTATATTTTAGGTTTCAAAACTTCTTTTTTTTTAAGGGGGTAAATCATAGAATGACTGCTCCCGCCTGGGTGAGGCGGGAGGAAGTGTCAGACTCTTACTGACTAAAAACCACCCCGTTCCTTCTCCTGCACGTCGAGCCGGAGCCCCGGTTACCCGTTTCAAAACATCTATTGTTTTTGTTTTGACAACGATTTTGTAAAAAAAAAACATATCTGAAAACATTAAAACTGGAAACTGGGGAAAAGCGAATAAACTTAGTAGGCGTAGGCGTATTCTATTCTTCTTCAGAAAAGTATGTTGGCTAACGCTAAAAAGGTGTGTCTCAAATACCACCTTTTTTGAAGATCAAGCTCTCTTAACCGCAACCCTTGTTTACACAAGTCGTGTTTAAAAAGTTGTGTAAATACGAACTGATGACAAAATGTAAAAACTGCAAAGATAGACCACAAAAATATTTAGACATACTAGACTAAAGACAACACTAGCGCCATCTTTTGGCGGCCGCGGTTATTATCAAAAATATTTACATCAAATAGATTTCGAAACGTCTTGTAATGATTGTAATATTGGAAAGTGTTGAAACCAGTAGCGACGTCACTCATAGGTGGTGCGCTACCGATGCGATCATATCAATTAGTGAGCGGACGATATAATTTCACGTGCTCACCATAGCTGAACGAAGAACTCTCCGCACACTGGGCTGGAATGATGGAGCTGGACAAAATTATTAGAGGAATTGTCTTTATTATTTGATACTTACTTATTTCGTTACCTGTAGGTCGATCGAACACGATGGTTTATTAAAATTGGACTATACGCAAGCAATAACTTAGTACTTGTGTTTTCTTAATCTCACGATCCCATCATGAAATGGAAAGGACTAACTAACTAACTAATTATTTTATCATTATTAATTTTAATAAAACGTTGTCCCACACTTTTTTTTTTTTTTTGAATGACTGCCCCCGCCTGGGTGAGGCGGGAGGGAGTGTCAGACTCTTACTGACTAAAAACCACCCCGTTCCTTCTCCTGCACGTCGAGCCGGAGTCCCGGTTACCCGTTAGGTTCTCCGCGACTCCGAATCGGCATCGGCCCTATTGGGCCCCATCTGTGGTGGTCTGATGGCTCTTTGAGGCGCGCGCGGAACGCGACGCGCCGTACGCTCGGGTCTGTTTCTGGTCGGACGGGGAGCCACCCATGCTCGCCGTCCGCAGGCCCGCGCTTACGGTGGCCGGAGATCGTCCCGCGATCCCCGACGCCCGGTGTGTCCTTCGCGATGGCTGGGTTGCGAGGAGGCAGCGCTTCGCTGCCTCACGCGTCCCGCCTCCTCCTTAGCTAGCATGACTGCTTCGCAAAAGGAGGAGACGGCATCCCAATCCCCCTCGCTCCGCATCATGGCCTGCACTAGGCCCGGACGCGAGAGGTCGCCATCGCCGATCACTTCCCTGAGGACACGGCGGTGCTCAGCCCACGAAGGGCATTCTCCCACCGTGTGTTCCACCGTGTCCTCAGGGCGGTCCTCGCAGTGATGACACCCGGGCGTTTCCTCCCGCCCCATCAGACACAGGTACCTCCCGAAACTTCCATGTCCGGTGAGGACCTGCGTCAGGCGGTAGGTGAGGACGCCGTAGCGTCTCTCAAGCCACTCCTCAAAGAGGGGACTTACCGCTGCGATGGCAGCGAGCCCAGCCCTCGGTTGCGACAGTCGTTGCTGCCATTCCGCCATGAGATCGCGGTTGTCCCACACTAGGATTTTCTCCTGTGTCGTGGATCTGTGGATCACACAAATAATTGTTCCGTGCGGGAATCGAACCCGGGACACGTTGCGCGGCAGCCAGTTGCCTTGGCACCGTGCCAACCGTGCAGTCACTGCATTTTAATAAACACATGGTTTTAGCTCATCCAGATAAAGGACCCAAAATTAGCCAGACGAAACGAGTACACAGAATGACACATCCAAGTCAGTTAAGAACAATATTAACATCCAAATCTGGAAGCCAATACCTATTTTAGGGAATCCACCAAAAGCCTTAACGTATGAAATGTCGGATTTGTAGGTGTACTAAGATAGGTTTTGCAGAAATGCACCCAAATGTACTGAAGTTAAGATCTCTTACCTACTTGAAACTTTTGTAAAATTGGTCAAAATTTTGTCATATAGAATACGCATATTGCCAACAAATTACTCAAACGAGTCCACAAACCAGCAAATTTGTGTGAGTACCTATCCCGTATTGAAAAATTAATATTCATACTTTGTCCAGTGCGAGACAATAGCGTATCACAGGGCGACGCGGTGCCCGAAGCAGTCGTTATTGCGATCGCACCGTTCGCCGTCCTCATAACTATCGATGAGTACTACTAAACTATTCGGACAGGCTGGACACACCGTCAGTTATTTTCTTCAAATTTTCGCAAATATTTTTCTCAAAAAGTGATGTGATTTTTTCCAAAAATGTCTTTATAGTGAGTGTTAATATGAGTGATAACGATCGTAAAAGTCACTATGAAAGGGACGATGCCGAGGAACCGCTTTATGTCGCCAACAACAATAATTCAATTTACAGCAATGGGACTTTGCATTATTGTAGCATATACAGGTAATTGTTCTACGTGAGCTTTAAGTTATTTACACAGATTAAATAAGGTCCTGCTAATTATGAATTAGAGTTTTAAAGTTACCATTTCGTACTTGTTTTTAAGTCTTTATTCTTTATTCAAACTGATAAGGATAAAACTAGCTGGTAGTGCTTGATTTAAAAATACTGAAGGGACTAATTTTTTTAAGAGCAATGGAACTTAGTGTTAATTTTACAGTTCGTACCTTCATTCATACTTAACATACGTAGTGGTTACAAAATAATTGTTGATGTAGCTTAAATTTACTCGTATGAATCACATAAGTTGCCGAATTGATAGAATGACATAAGTTTGTACGTATACAAAAGTTCCTCAAAGAGCAAAGAGAAAGAGGATTGTATTATGAATGTGCGTATGCATAATAACTAGGTGCAATTTGTTATAAACTATTATAAACACACCTATGTGTCTCGTAAATCTACTTCTTATGTATTCCTTATATTGTGTGCGTAATGTCGGCGTTACGCATAATTAAACAGTGTTCAATCAACAACTTTCTAATACCTTACATGGATCACAGAATATCCGCTCAATCATTGATTGTCATTGAAAGCAAGATTACCGGTGGATATGAATTCTTTGCTTTCATTTGTGTTCAAGTAGAAAAGTTCGTTTATTCCATTAAAAACTCTTTAAGATAAAAATAAGCATAAACTCAATTGTCTTTGTCATTGATCATATCTTAGTTATGTTGTGTACCTACTAGAATTGGTGTTACAAAAAAATCTGTTCTGATACCGTGGTCGAGTAAGTGCGCTAAGTTATGCCAACTGGTCGAGCTAGAGCCGCAACGTTTAATTAGGTCACCTACCACCTTCGTTGGTCGCCTTACGTAAACCCCACTGTCACAACCTGTACAGGTACTATGTGCATATGTGTTGCAATAATAAACGCTGTAATGTAACGGTTTTCTATCCGCGTTAATATGCTGCACACGCGAAGGTCATATCGAAATATTGCATCGGAAGGAAGCTGCGTCTGCGTCTGTCGGAACGCAACATTGCTCGAGATTTCTCTCTCAACAGAATAGCGTGTGAAAGTTGTTTTTCTCGTTGCAATCGTGTTTGTGTCGTGCGTTATCCAGCAGGTGTAAGATAATGTGCACTGAGCGCACGTAAATAGATAGTTTGTGTCATTGCTAGATCCATGTGAAATGTTTAGTTAAAGAGAAAAAAGAAATTGTTAAAAGAAAAAGTAGGATAATACATGATCTTCTTATTTACCTTATGTAGCTGACGTAGAGAACTTTAATTTTTATTAAAGTTAAGTGTCCAATCAATAAAAGAGATTCCATTGTCACATGATAAAGATATCTTTTGTATCGATTTATAAATGCTTATTTGTTATTCTCTCTATTTCAGCCAAAGGACAGTACAAGAAACGAAAGGATGGGACGTGTTCCGGGAGTTTCCACCGAAGCAGGACAGTGGGTCTATGGAGACTCAGAAATGTTTGGAATTCACAGTGCGGTTGCTGAAGGTGACGGCATATCTAGTCGTCTTCATTGTGGTCCTCGGGTCCGGAGTCGTAGCAAAGGGCAGCACGCTCTTTATGACATCACAGCTAAGAAAGGACAGGCGGATTGCGTATTGTAATAGGAATTTAGGTACGTTGCTATTTACTTAGTATTTATCTTCCGAATATAGCCAAACATGTGAAGCCTATCAAATAGTAAACTTTAAAGGAGGTCCGCACATTAAACGAGATCCGGTGAGGCAAATGCGCGCGTTCCACATTCGTTTTAGATCAAGTTGCAGTACAAACGTGGTTTGATTACCAATATTGCTGGATTGTATTTAGTTTCAATCAGAAATGTGTATTGCGAGAATTTTATAACGACATGCAATTAAAGTAATGTTTTTACACCAGTTCGACCATTTATTGAGATATCCGAGGTTAAACTTTCGCGTCCGTTATTTTTATTGCGAAATATTATGACATGAGTACTTAGGTAGGGCATTTTTTAATGTTTATTATCCTGTTTATCTATTAAAATATACTGTTTAATGTTTCCAGGTAGGGATAAACAGTTTATAGTAAGTCTTCCAGACGAAGAGCGAGTGGCTTGGATGTGGGCTATTTTGGCTGCGTTCGCCATACCAGAAATAGGAACACTCATTAGATCAGTGAGGATATGCTTCTTCAAAACATCCAGACGACCGACAAGTGCACAATTCGCAGTGGTAAGCTAGTCACACTGTTTGTATTTTGTTTTATCTAGCAATTATGGTTTTAATAAGTCCAACCGATCTTTCTTATTTTCACTGGCAATCAAATCACTTGATGTATAATAAAAATTTAAATGCTCTACGTTATTTGGTTGTGGCAAATTGTGGTACAATAGGTACTGTTTCATTATTTTACAGATTTTCATAGCGGAGACGTTGCATACGATAGGAATGGGCCTCCTTTTCTTCATGATCCTACCTGAACTGGACGTGGTCAAAGGGGCTATGATTACCAACTGCCTTTGTATCATTCCGGCAGTCTTGGGCCTGCTCTCACGCAACCACCGAGACTCGAAGCGGTTCATGAAAGTGATCGTGGACATAGCGGCGATTGTTGCACAAGTCACAGGGTTCATTGTATGGCCACTATTAGAGAACAAGCCTGTCCTCTGGTTGATACCAGTTGCATCGATATGTATTTCTTTGGGATGGTGGGAGAACTATGTAACACGACAGAGCCCGATAGGTGAGAAGAAAATTATTAAAATTTATAATTATAAAATTTTGACGATAGGAAAATTGCATTCTAACTTGACAATTCTTTCTCGACAGGTATAATCAAAAGTTTGGGCAGATTAAAGGATGAATTAACGTTCACCCGCTATTACACTTACCGTTTTATATCTGTTTGGAAAATCTTGGTGTTCCTCATGTGCATTCTCTTCATGATCTGGCTTGATGGTGACGAGCCTGCCATGTTCTTCCAATTGTTTAATGCTGGTTTCGGACCACATAGTATCGTTGTTGAAGAGGTTTGTATTACCAAATAGATTTGAACAATTACATTTTATAAGGAGTCGTATATTTTAATATTTGAATATTTTTCAGGTACAAATCCAATTAGGTGGAACCGTAATTCCTGATTTAGCTAATGTTACTCTAACCGGAGACTCAGTAGAGGTCGCAGCTGCATACAAATCCGCATTCTACGTGATGCTTATCCAAATATTTGCAGCGTACATCTGCTACATATTTGGAAAGTTCGCTAGTAAGATTCTCATCCAAGGCTTCAGTTATGCGTTCCCTATCAACCTCGTCATTCCTTTGGTTGTCAATTTGTTGATTGCTGCGTGTGGTATTAGAAATGGTGACAATTGCTACTTCCATGGAACCGTTCCTGATTATCTTTACTTCGAGAGTCCACCAGGTAAGATTACGCGGTTTTAGTTTACAATATAATACTATTGTATAGTGTTTTAGATCGTCAAAATTAATTAATGTTTATTTACTTTCAGTGTTCACGCTCAGCGATTTCATATCTCGTCAAATGGCATGGATTTGGCTACTATGGCTATTGTCACAAACGTGGATCACCATACACATCTGGACACCAAAACCAGAACGTTTGGCCTCTACGGAGAAGTTGTTCGTAATGCCAATGTATAACGGCTTACTTATAGATCAGAGTATGGCACTCAATAGAAAGAGGAATGATCAGAGAGATGTTAAGACTGAGGTACGATATCATTTAATCACTCATCAAGATATTGATTCAAGACAATTTTATCTTTCGGAATTTGAAGATAACATGAGATTTATGTTTCTTCTATTTCTCATTTCAGGACCTCGCAGAAATTGAAAAAGAAAAAGGCGATGAATACTACGAAACTATATCGGTTCACACGGATAACACCGGTTCTTCTCCGAAAGCTATTAAGTCATCAGATCAGATTACCAGGATATACGCATGCGCTACTATGTGGCACGAAACTAAAGACGAGATGATAGAGTTCTTGAAGTCCATTCTTCGGTTAGATGAGGATCAGTGCGCTCGGCGTGTAGCTCAAAAGTATTTACGAGTCGTTGACCCTGATTATTATGAATTCGAAAGTAAGTTTTACAACTATTTTAAATACTCACAAAAGTAACTAGAAAGTGACCACACACCACCACAGTTGTATTTACCTAAGATTATTTGTGTTAGACAAAAGTAAAGCAAAGTAATACTAAATTGTTTTTCTATTTTAGCACATATTTTCTTAGACGACGCCTTCGAAATATCAGATCACAGTGATGATGATTCGCAAGTGAATCGATTCGTGAAACTGCTTGTGGACACTATTGATGAAGCAGCTTCCGAAGTACATCAGACGAATATTCGCATTCGACCACCTAAGAAGTATCCAGCACCTTACGGAGGACGTTTGACATGGGTGCTGCCAGGAAAGACAAAGATGATTTGTCATTTGAAGGATAAGGCAAAGATTCGTCACAGGAAACGTTGGTCTCAGGTAGAAACTTTGTCAAGAACTAAGTAAATATTTTTGTTTTTAATCTAAAAAGGTGTTCTAACGCATACAAAATTTAACATATATATTTTCTACAGGTGATGTACATGTACTACCTACTCGGTCACCGACTAATGGAACTGCCAATATCTGTGGATCGTAAAGAAGTTATGGCTGAGAACACGTTTTTGCTGACTCTGGACGGAGACATCGATTTCCAGCCTCATGCTGTACGTTTGCTTATTGATTTGATGAAGAAGAACAAGAATCTGGGAGCTGCTTGCGGTCGTATTCATCCTGTAGGCTCTGGTAAGAGAAGTGAACTTATCTTCGAACCTTAATTATGACCTTTCATTAAATTTAATCAGATGGCAATAATAAAATACTTTTGTTAATGCATTACAGGTCCTATGGTGTGGTATCAAATGTTCGAGTACGCTATTGGTCATTGGCTGCAAAAGGCGACTGAACACATGATTGGCTGTGTACTCTGTAGCCCTGGATGCTTCTCCCTATTCAGAGGAAAGGCTTTGATGGATGACAACGTCATGAAGAAGTATACTTTAAGGTCTGATGAAGCTCGGCATTACGTACAGTACGATCAAGGTAAGTAAACTACACGTACCAGTGTAAAGAAAACTATTGGAGTTTTTGTCAAGTTGGTATTAATGGAATTTAATTGGATTACAGGGGAAGATAGATGGCTATGTACGCTTTTACTTCAACGTGGTTACCGTGTAGAGTACTCAGCTGCCTCCGACGCCTATACTCACTGTCCCGAAGGTTTCAACGAGTTCTACAATCAACGTCGTCGCTGGGTGCCTTCCACCATCGCCAATATTATGGACTTGCTTGCCGATTACAAACACACTATCAAAATTAACGATAACATCTCCAGTCCTTATATCGCATATCAGGTACTTTTTTAAGATTGATTAATCTGACGAATTAATTAGAATTATAAATTTTTTTTTGTGCTATAATGTTTATAAATATTTGCAGTTTTATGATGTAATCTGTTATTATTTTCTTACAGATGATGTTGATGGGTGGTACGATCTTGGGTCCCGGAACTATATTCCTTATGTTGGTGGGTGCCTTCGTGGCTGCTTTCCGAATCGACAACTGGACTTCTTTCGAATATAACTTGTATCCCATTTTGATATTCATGTTTGTTTGCTTTACGATGAAATCCGAAATTCAAGTAAGTTGTAGTTTCATTTTACTTCTATGAATACTCATCGCTATTAATTTTGTATATTTGAATGTTATGTATTGCTTCTTTTCAGTTACTGGTAGCTCAGATATTATCGACGGCATATGCCATGATAATGATGGCTGTGATCGTCGGTACCGCGCTTCAGTTAGGCGAGGACGGTATCGGATCTCCTTCGGCTATATTCTTGATATCACTTACGAGTTCGACCTTCATAGCCGCTTGCTTGCATCCGCAGGAGTTCTGGTGTATCGTACCAGGAATAATTTATCTTTTATCTATACCCTCTATGTACTTGCTTTTGATTTTATATTCGATTATAAATCTAAACGTAGTATCTTGGGGTACTCGAGAAGTAGCAGTTAAGAAGACGAAGAAGGTTGGTACACGACTGATTTATTTTTAGTGTAAAAATTAATCAAATACTTATTAATTGTTTATTTTTACTTTAGGAAATTGAAGCAGAAAAGAAAGAAGCGGAATTAGCAAAGAAATCGGCCAAACAGAAGTCCCTCTTAGGTTTCCTTCAAGGAGTAAACAGCAATGAAGAAGAAGGATCTATTGAATTCTCGTTCGCTGGTTTATTCAAGTGTCTATTGTGTACTCACCCGAAAGGAAATGAAGAGAAAGTGCAACTTTTGCATATTGCATCTACTTTGGAGAAATTGGAAAAGAAACTAGAAACTGTTGAGAGGTAAGAAAAATTTATTAATAAGCTGATAATTTACTTTTACAACTGCAAATAATGACTTGAACGCAATTTGATTGTATTTAGGGCTGTCGATCCTCATGGAATGAGCAGAGGACGTAAACTATCGGTTGGACCAAGAGGTAGCACTGCTGGAGATCATGGTTTGGACGCTCTGGCTGAAGGACCAGAAGAAGACGGCGACTCAGATTCTGAAACCGACACTCTTTCTACTACGCCAAGAGTATGAGAACTTTTTATATCATTTCCATTATAGCACCACTTTTAAATTGCATTTTTTAGCATTATGTAAGGTTTATAATTACGTGCTTGTTATAATTTGATTGCTTGTTGTAATTCCAGGAAAAGAGAGATGATCTCATAAACCCTTACTGGATTGAGGATCCTGAGTTGAAGAAGGGTGAAGTAGATTTTTTGAGTCCCGCTGAATTATCTTTCTGGAAAGATCTCATTGACAAATATTTATATCCTATCGATGCTAACAAGGACGAGCAGGTAAGATAGAACAACATTTGTCAGAAGAAATTGAACTCATTCACTGTTTCTTTCGTAGTTACCTGATATTCATTAAAATTTGAGAAATTAGCTAAATCAATTACCTATAATTAAATTCAAGATTAGTATGATGATGATTTAACGCATTCAGCGATGAGATCAAGAATATACTTTGGATATAATTTTAAATCCTGTGTGCTAATTTAATAAGCTTTTATTTCAGGTGCTTTACTCGATCTTACAATCATTACAAGTTCTTTCACTTTGTCATACAGCTTCCATAACATATAATTCCCGAAGGGGTATATATTTAACAATAATTTTTCCATAGTTATGTTAAAGTCCCATGTGATATCAGCGAGCTTATTTTTGCTATACACCATAAATATTTCAAATCTCTATGGTGTTACTGAGAATTTTTAAATTCGAATACCCAATACTTTGCCCGACCCGGGAATCGCACCCTTTGCTTGACAGTCGTGCTTGCAATCACTCATTCAATGACCGAGTCATACTAAATACTCATGATGATAATCTTCCCCTAATTTTAGGCCCGTATATCCAAGGACCTGAAAGAATTGAGAGATTCGTGTGTTTTTTCTTTCTTTATGGTCAATGCCCTCTTTGTATTGATTGTATTCTTGCTACAACTGAACAAGGACAACCTTCACTTTAAGTGGCCCTTCGGAGTTAAAACTAACATAACTTACGATGAGGTTACTCAAGAGGTAACGTGAGAGTCCACTACAAAGCGATCGGCATTCAACGATGACTCGGGACTGCGAGCTGTGATCGAGATTTGACATTTGAAAGTACTGAACCTTGGCCATGTCCCCCGTCACCCTTGAAAGTTGATTACATTTATTTAAAATATTTGTTTTATGAATATTTACAGGCACGAATTGCAGCAGACTTGCTTGAACTTCGCAATAAGTCGGTTTTCGCATTTGTTATGTTCAATGCTTTATTCATATTGATAGTGTTTTTATTACAACTGAACAAAGATCAACTCCACGTGATTTGGCCTTTGGGAATTAAGACAAATATAACGTACATCGAGGAAACAGGCGAGGTATAGCCAAATGTTACCACTGAAGTGTGTCACTACACAATCCTAACGACCTTCTTCTAACCGGTCTGTCTGGGAGGGCACACCAGCATGGAGTCCCGGCGACACTGAAGACTAAATAACTCTGATGGTTTTACGTCTAATCAATATCCAACCTGGTGTCCTTATGATTTGGTTTTGTGGAAACCCCGCGTATTATCCGTAATAACAAGAGAATTCGACTACGGTGTTACAACAGAGCTGATTACATCTTTGGCGTTGAAGCTCGAAGCCCCTATGTTGGACACCTTATCCTAAACAGCCCTTAGACTGGACATTACGACCAATCCAGGAATTTCCTGCTCTCCAATCCAATTCCGAGCATATGACCTGCACCTTGAAATACAGTTTTCAATTCCGCCGTAGTCGAATCTGACCCAAAATATGGAGTTTTTAGATGTGACAACCATTCACTTTCCCAATATGTGCACCGTTTCCAATCCAATTCACCGAGGAGTAACTTAATGTTTCTGTCTGTCTATTAAGGTGGAGGAATTTCTTTTAATATTACTTGTAACAGGGACACTGGTTTCCTTTGTACATAAGTATTTGTACACCCTAAAGGATGTGGTGATTTGCTTAACACGATTTATAGTTCTCAGGATTATGTGGAAAATATTTTTGGAGTTCTGTATACTGAGCAATGGCGTGTTTTGTGTGAACTAAGTGTTTCAATATTTCAATGTTCAATGTGGAGCGCGAACATTTCAGAAATAAATCTAAGTGTTTCACAGAAATAAAAAATAACGCACTTGTAAATAACAAAACGGTTTTATTTTCTGAAATTAACTATCGCAATTATGTTTCTTTTTAATGTTTCGTAACCAGATGTGAACTTTTTTGAACGAATTTTTATGGCTATTACATTTCGGTGAATTATTAATTAGGTATTGTTAAAATTTCAAATAGATGAAAAGTGCACATTTGACTAATTATTATTAACGGTTAATTTTAACTAATTTAATTTGTTTATTGATTTTGTACAGAATGGAAAACCTAAAGCATATTTAAAATTTTCAGGTGTTAATTTCAAAAGAATATCTGCAACTGGAGCCTATTGGTTTAGTGTTCGTATTCTTCTTCGCCTTGATCTTGGTGATACAGTTCTCCGCCATGTTGTTCCATAGATTTGGAACCATCTCGCACATATTAGCGTCGACAGAACTGAACTGGTTCTGTTCTAAGAAGGTAAACACAAACTTCCAAACGGTTGTCTGCTATTTAATGTAAAATATTTGTCAAAATTAATTGGCTTCTATTTATTTCTAGTCCGACGACTTATCTCAAGACGCACTACTAGATAAGAATGCAATAGCAATAGTGAAAGACCTGCAGAAATTAAATGGTCTGGACGACGATTATGATAACGACTCTGGCTCGGGTCCTCATAACGTCGGTAGAAGAAAGACCATTCACAATTTGGAGAAGGCGAGACAGAAGAAGAGGAATATAGGCACATTAGACGTGGCCTTCAAGAAGAGATTCTTTAATATGAACGCAAATGATGGGCCAGGTAAGACGGATAGAACAGATTTAATATTATGGTTTGGTCACTACATAATGGGATTCCTGACGAAGATTTTAGTGTATCATTTATTACGACTTTGACCACGCGAGCAGAGTTATATGTATTTAAGAATAAAAAGATTATTCTTTGTGTTCATATTTATGCACTGTGCCAAATAAAATCCCTAATATTGTTTTGTTTCATAAAGGTACACCAGTACTTAATCGCAAGATGACGTTGCGACGAGAAACGCTAAAGGCTTTAGAGACGAGAAGAAATTCAGTGATGGCTGAAAGAAGGAAATCTCAGATGCAAACACTTGGTGCCAATAACGAATATGGAGTGACAGGAATGGTAATAATATAAAAAAATATTTCTAATTAAAATCGTTAAAAGAAACGATTTTGAATTGAATCTCAGCCTTTGATTTTTTTATATATTTTAAACTTTTATCTTCTATTGTTACAGCTCAATAATAACTTAAATGTTGGGCCTCGGCACAGAACATCAAATGCCAACATATCAGTGAAAGACGTTTTCGGCGAGCCAAACGGAGGTCAGGTCAACCGAGGCTACGAAACCACCCTGGGCGACGAAGACGACACCAACTCAATGAGATTACAACCTAGACAAAACCAAGTTTCCTTCCAGGGTAGATTCTAAAAGAGTTGTCAAACTAAGTGCCTAGGTTAAACAAATGTAGATACTAGAAATATAGACTGTAGAAATTTTTACAATGAACAAACTCAGCAGCTGTTTGCGTGAGTCATGTATTGCTTGTGATATATACTTTTTTAGGTCGTGACAGCAATGTGCCGTCATTAAATACCAACATCGGACAATTTACAGCTTTATTGTAAGATAAAACATACGAATTTACACTGCCACTTAACTTTACATATTATTATATTGATCTTTTTATACCTATTAAAATAATATCTTTGTATTAAAGATTTTTGTTTTAGTTCTTATGAATGTAGACATCGAATTAGTGTTGTATGTATTAAATGAGATTAAATTAATATGTTTTGCATTATTTAACCTGCTTACTTTTTCTCCAAATTACAAAGCGTTTTTATAAAATACACAGCGTAATTTAGGTATTAATCTCTTGATGGAATATAAAGAAAAACCAAAGTAACTAATGTAATAAATAACTTACTTAATTCTCTAAGAAAGAAACGAATTCGGTTAATTTGAACAGCTGGTCTTCACTGGATGTGTGGAGTGGTGCAGGCTGGGTGGGTGGTGTTGGGCTCACAGTGATTCCATCTTCATTCAACATCCATTTGCGGTCTCTGCAGACATGTAGAACTGCATCTTTGCTCAAGCCGGTCATAGAGACCACATGGTCAATTGATATAGAACTGTATGAGCGACCAATCAGGTTGAATGTGCGCTCCCTTATGTTATCTGGAATAGCACAAACAAATTATTTGTAGTAAATGAATGAAAGATAAACAAATATTGCCCACTTTCATAAGACATCCTTAAAACTCGAAATAACTTCTTGTCTGTCGGAATGTAGATCTATGTGAGACACAACGTTTACTATTGTATCTCATATATCGACAGACAAGAGGTTAAGCAAATATTTCTTTAAAGACAATTTTATACTATTTTGATATTTTCTTATTACATCCATAGCCAAAAGACTATACTCAGTCTCAGAATCCAGCTTAGGTAGTATTCAACTTCAGTAACCATACAAAGTAAAGTAAAAGGCACATCATTATTTTTATTTTTAACCATAGTCATCCCACTGCAGGGCAAAGGCCTCCCTACCCTCCTTCCACTTGACGCCTATGAAAAGGATTGACCATAGATAACTTTAAGAAGAGACATCATAATTGTAAAAATTTATCAGTTTGTCATGTTAAAAGTAATATTTTCATACCTTCTAAAGCTCGGATGATATTAGCAACAGGTTCAGTCCAGTTGAAAGCTGCTAGAGCCTGGTAGGTACCCGGTAGGTCTTTTTTCCATAACTTCTGACCTACCGCCCATATTGCTGATATTTCCGGATTACTACTTGTTATGTTCTGAGGGATTCTCTTCCATAGGAATTTTGCATTACATCTGTAATTAAGTATACAAGTTCTAGGTTTCTGCTTAGGTTTAAGTTAATCTAAGTCAATATTGCTACTATTCATATTGACACTGTATCTTCAAACTAGGCAACCATTAATATAATAAAAATAATAATAAATAATAAAAACTTTTTATTCAGATAACAATGATCCAATTGGTTATTATTGGTTATTAATATAAATTACTAGTTTGGCTGTTTGAAATCACAATAAAACGATTTTTATGTAATGTGGTATAACATAGAAACAGTTAACGGCTTAAATTATTAGGAATAGTTGATACAGTATGTTATTTTTAAAATAACTGTCGTGAGATATAAGGACTTCACTAAAAATGATGTTATTCACGTAAATATACTGAGAAAAGCTCTATTAGTTGGAGTCGACTCTTCCTCAAAGCTTTTCTTAGTATACAGAGGTCCTTGTCAGTTTTAATTGATGCGGTAAATTATATATTTCTGTTTCAAAGTATATTGTAACAAGATACTTACAAATCGTTTTGATATAAATATATTGCCAAGAGTTGTGCGTATGTAGAAGGAGATGCTATACCGGTAGGAGCCTGCAATAAGAACAATAAGATTCCAATTGTAGATTGTACCCCTTTCTTTCTTATATATTTCTAACCTATAAACATCAAACATAACAACAAATGCAAATGCTATACCTCCAATTCTTGCTTTTCTAGATCTCCACAGAGTTTATCAAAGTTTGTAATCATTGTGTAAATTCTACTTTTACGAAAATAATGAATAATATTCGCAAACAATTATTTCGCACATCAATTCACTTTGACAGCAAAACAAGCCGTCCAAAAACCGTTCACTGTAAATGACAGTGACGTTGACATTTATGACAGTCCAATGGTGATTGTGAAGCGTTCATTATACGCATTACCATTACTCACAGAGCGTTAAATTTTAAAATAATTATGCAGATGCACAATAATGTTACGACGGTGACGACGGCTACAGTGTCTATTTTTAATTGGAATTATCATAATTTAGTAATATTTTTAAACTTTTTTTTTTTAAATAATCGTTGCCCCACACTAGGATTTTCTCCTGTGTCGTGGGTGCGTTACAAACATACAAGTTCACGTACACAATGACACCCAGACCCGAAACAACAATTTGTGGATCACACAAAGTGTTGTTCCGTGCGGGAATCGAACCCGCGACACGTTGCATTTTTAAACTTTGTAAATATTTTACAAGAATTATTATTTTTTTACTATAGACCGAATTAAAAAAATCTGCACAATAAATATGCCAATAATTTTAAGAATATATTGAGTGATAATTATTATATTATTTTTTTAATATATACTCTGGCGCCATCCCATCTTCCAAACTCAGCGTGTCGAGCCGGTGCTGCCGCTGCTGCTGCCGAGAACCTCAAACGGCGAAAGTATGATAGCCTGATTGGCAATTATGCTTTCGAACCGTTTGGGGTTGAAACTTTAGGGCCGTGGGGCCCAAGTGCACATCTTCTTTACAAAGATATTGTAAAGAGGATGGCTGACACTTCAGGTGATCGAAGGGCTGGCTTCTACCTTGGACAAAGGTTAAGCATTGCCATTCAACGTGGTAATGCTGCCAGTCTTTTGGGCACCCTACCTCACGATAATGATGAGGAAAATTTTTTTTTTGATGCCTTATTATAGCTTATTTATTTATTATTACCTTTTTTTTAAGGTGTAAATATTTTAGTTCATAGTTATTTATATTTTAAGTTGTATATATTTTCATTTAGTTATAGTTAATATTAATTGTATATATAATAAGTATGTATTTTCAAATAAATTCTATACATATAAAAAAAAAAAAAATTTAAACAAATAAATTGGGAAAAGTATCACATGGAATATTTCTAAGATGTGGACAAAGATACATACATTTACTAAGAGATACAAGTCAGATTGGTAATGAATATAGACTTAGCCTAGGTGATTATTTTGTTTCTATTTATTGTCCACTTTAATACCTACTTCGTAGTAATAGAATCGTAGTAATTGGCGTTCCTTAGTCTCTGCCTACCCCCATGGGAGACAGGCGTGAAGTTATGTATGTATGTATGTAATACCTACTTATCCATGACTTGTTCATTCGAGTATTAAGTACCTAAGTGCGTATTCGTCGAAGTGTTTAAAAGGAGTCGTACTTGTAGCTTGCGTGGGTAGTTAGATTTTCTTACTGTCACCTCAATTTAATAAGCTTCATGGCCTCGATTTTTATAATCGAATTTCACGGCTATTGATCGAGGGCTTGGGCGGGCTTGCCAGTCGACATGTCTACTCGCCTTGCTATTACATTGCATCACAATAGGCCGGTGAGCACAACCGGAGCTGATGGGCTGACGCGCTGAGTCACCCTTCAATATTGTCGCTCATAATGCTAATTTTCTCGTTATGCTTGTATCAATTTGCATCTTAATGCTTTTTGTTGTACATATTTGATCTTATTTGTTCATAATAATAGCTTAAGGAAATAGGTTTCGTACATACTTCAAAAGTATGTGCCGTCGTTCGTTGACATTTGTAAGGTGTATGCAAACTGTAATTATCTGGTTGCTAAAGAATTAAGGCTTAAGGCTTATGTTAATAAGACCAAAACTAAAAGTTGGATTTGACTAAGTTAAATAAGTAGCTAGTAGGTACTTGCTATATTGCTATTTGGTTTGTGAAACTGTAAAGTTATAAAAAAGTACCTATAATTTATTGATCTAAGTAATTCAAGTATGGTATCTATTCAAGTACCTTCATACTATGTTTGAAGTTCTAGGATTAAAATGAAAAACGTTTTCTTAATATATGCCTGTGATCGGAACGCGATGTAGTACCGTGAAGTTGGTGGAAGAGACGTAAATACAGCGATGATGACTAATTAAGCAAGTAGTTCTTTAGGTCTTGAGAACTCTACATCCTACAGATGAGGTGGATTTTGTCTAAGTCTCTGTAAGTAAAATGAGAAGCTTTTATACAATAAAAACAAAAGGCGTGTAATTAAATTAAAATATGGACAAGCACCTCATTTGAAAACAAAATTCCATCTATAAAACGACATTATTTTAACCATAATAGGTAGCCACTTACTTAACACAAGACGTTTATGTATGTTCTATAACAATTAAGTTGGATTAAGGTTTAATTATGACTAAGTAATTAAAGTAGTTAATTTTGCCCAAGGTGCTTCGCACAAGGAGCGTTTCGTCACTTTCACTGTTCGTTGGATTGTCCAATGAAACTTGTCACGCTCTGGCGACGGTAACCAATGGGTATGCTTACCGCCCCGCCTCGAAACAGAGGCGTGAGCTGCGGCCGCGGCCCAGATGCCCACAACAATGCCTTTGTCCCACGGTGCTAGACAGCCACCTGAAACTACAAGTAGGTACTACCTGATACCAACAACAAGTCGTTGAATAATCCATGTCCTCGCAATATTCAAATTTGCCATGGAAGTAGTAAAATACGTTTGAAGTCGAAGCTTCTCTGCTCTCTGATGACCTGACCACAGTCCTGGCTATAAATATCGGTGTTATGTGTGTGCAATGAAGTTGTTTTATATTTATGCACTAGGTCGATTGGTAGTGCCCTCTCCCACGTTTAGCAAACCTAGGGCTGTCACGAGTATTAAATGTAGATGCTTTGAAAATAGTCATGTCCGTAGGTACCTGGCCTAGATATTGTAAGTTCCGGATTGGAAAATAGAAAAAAGGAATTTTCTTCAATTTAAGAATACAATAATGTAAACCTTTCTGTTCAGATATTACATGTGTACCTATAAAGTTGACACGTAGAGCTTACGTAAGGTTTCGCTCCAGTAAAGCTGCAAGTGGTGCAACATGGCCGGTTGGGCCCGCGGCCCGTATGACCCGGGCGCGGGGTCACCGGGCCCATCGCCGCCGCCTGCGCCGACAGCGCTGTGCAAAATTGCTAATTACGTTCAAGCTTGGTTCTTCGCGCCGAGGAGCATACACGTGCTCAAACTATTTGAACTAACATGTTACAAAAATCATAGCATAACTGTACCTTAATATTGACAACTTGTTTACAAAAAATATTGTGTTCAGATGAGTCTATGCCATAGACTAGACCATATTGAGATCTCCAACAGCATATTATTATTGTCGTAAAGGTGTTTAGAGCTTTTACATGTTGTATCAGTTTTACCTAACAATAAGATCTAGAGAACGCAGTGTGGGTACCAAATATACAAATTATTTATTTTATCAGTGTAGGTAGGTATGTTGCAATTGCTAGTAAGTATTATTATGGTAGTTCGCCACACTTTGTGTCTGTACAGACATACAAAATACTTACTTCTAAAAATCCTTAACATAGGTACTAAGGTTTATGTAAACTAAAGTTTTATTTTTCCTTTAAACTAATTAATGTTCACTTATTTAGGTTAACCTTAAATTAGGGTTTAAGATTATATATTTACATGCCTGCTCGTTGGCCGAGTGGTCGCAAGTGCGACTGCCGGGCAAGGGGTCTCGGGTTCGATTCCCGGGTCGGGCAAAATGTTACTGGGTTTTTAAAAAATCTCAGTAGTAGCACGGTCCAAGGAATAGTGCCCGGTATATGGCAATAGGCTCACCCCCTATTACATGGGACTCATAACATAAATAGTGAAAAGTGGGTGGTTACATTGTACTGTGACAGTGGCATAATGTACACCTCTGCCTATCCCTTTGGGGATAAAAAGACGTGATGTTATGATATATTTACATGGTAAATACATGAAAAATCTAAGTTTCCATCCATAAACACTAACGATAAAAACCATTCCTTTGATTGCCGTTTTTAAAAGTTCAACTTTTAGTTCGTAGTACGTTCAGTATTTTTAGTAGTATCAAGTTTAATAATGTAGTGCCTCATGGAAGAGACCCACCTAGATATTAAAATAAACCTAGATCTGAGATGCTTTTAGCTCTTGTTTGTTGTATATAAATTTAAGCTTTAAATATTAATAATAATACTCGTTCCGCAAACTTTCTTACAATTTTAATAGAAAGGGACTTTCAATTCAAAACAACCTGTATATAAATCACGGGTTGTAAATCCATGGTAACTAGAATTTTGTAAAATCGATAATCATTTGTATTCATGACATAGTTAAGAACACGTTATAAATAAAATGAAATCGATTATTATAATTTTATGGCCCATGTTACAAAAAGAAACTGAATTACGAGGAACTCGACTCGTTTCATGCTAGACTAGATCACATATTCAAACCAACAAGCCATACTAGGGTTCCTCGTCAAGCAATAAAGCGAGTAAGCCGAAAACTTAATTAATAATTTGGTGTGTCTCACGAAAGCTATAATATAAAAACAGAAGGAGCCATGCACCATGTTTATTGAAAATCAAAATAATTTACGAAGGTATGACTTAGGGTTCCGTATAAGTTGTAATATTTGTCTGAATGCAAAAAGTACGAGGTTAAAATTCAGTAAAGACAAAATGACAACAACTTTAACGCATCCAAACTTAATGGGTATTAATTAATACAATTAGCCCACGGCAAATTGCACGTAAAGACTGAAATAATGAGCGTAAATTGAGGCGACTTTACACTTCTGATTTATTGTCCTGCACTTGCACGATTTCGACGAAAGAGAAAACGGACCAGTTCCGTCGTATATTACGAACAGTACATAAAATTGATAATGAATATTTATAAAAAACTTAATCACCGCTTACTGCGTTTTCCAGAGGGGTCAACAGGAGAAACCATTAATCAGAACATTTCCACTTAATCATGTAAATGCACTTGTTTTCTCTCTACTTAGCCTGAAGACTTTGATGTAGGTGCACGTTATT